CTACTACTACTACTACCACCACTATCACTTCTATCACTACTGCTTCTTCTACTACTAACACTGTTATTAATATCTCGCCTCAGCACCATTCCCGTCGTCGCTAACACCCATCATCACGGCCACCAGCACCAGCACCAGCACGAGCACCAGCACCAGCACCAGGCAAAGGCACCAGCAAAGGCACCAGCACCAGCACCAGCCCCCAGCACCCAGCACCCAGCACCCAGCACCAGCCGTTCATCGTTGTATCAGGGAAGGTCACCATAGAGCAGGCCGGTGACAACCGTATACATCATATGGATCAGGATGACTCGGGGGAATACAATCATTCGAGGAGCGACCGATGCAGCAGCAAGACTTGTGACATTCAAGCTCACCAGACAACCAATGCGATGGTGGTAAGGCTGGACTGCTTTGATCCCTCAGTCCTCAGGCATATAGCACGACACTTGCGGCATCAGAGCATCGTGCGGTCATCTTTTTGCACCCTGCACCCCGGACTCCTGGTATGCAGCCCCAAGCCCCAAAGCTTTACTGGGCGTATATGAGGGGTTTGGCTTTAAGCCTTTAGGCACTACGGCTTTCCTGAATTTAGGGCTTTTGAATGGCATCTTTGTTGTTAATTTGTTGGCCTTTCGATTTGGAGTTCAGGGCGGGCTTTAGAGGGTGTGTTACCTTTAGTACAACGACAAGCGGGCAAGCTAAAGGCCAGAGGCTTCATGATGGGATCGACCGGGCTAACGGCCATTTAGGTGAAGGTCAGGCCGCGGAAAGAGGAGACTGAATTCTAAATGGTGATACGAACCAGAAGAGAAAGGACATCAAGACCGAACATAGCCAGGGAGCCCAAAGATGTGGTCTATGCGCATGTAGCTGCGAATATGAATCCTCCGTCGTTGTAACAGTAGGTATCCGAAAAGTGCGACAGTTTTCGCAAGCTTCCTTGTAGTACCGGTGCAATTCCAGACCGATGCCCACAGATTGAAAGTTCTTTGTTAACCGGGGGGAGTCCGGGCACTAATCCTTGCATCCATCAGTGATACTTCCGCAGAAGATGTGAGCCTGGCCGCATTTATTATGTGATGTCTCGACCTTGTTTTGCAGCTAAACAGATGATCAAGTTCCAGCTCTATATTCCAAAGCAGCGAGAGCACCCTTGCAGTAATCCTTATAGTGCCCTTATAACTACCCCTTATTGTTACCCAACCCTTATAGCACCGACTGGCTGGCCCCACATTGCTTTCTCAGTTCCTATTGTACAGAGCCGGTGGTTGCCAGGTTAGAACACCAGCACCGCCTTAATCTCGGTCGGATTCGTCTCAGCTCGGGGCACTGCCACAATCTACACACCGGTCGAGACAGCAAAATTGCTCGGAGGAGGCCCCCATGATGCTGTATGCACAGGAGCAATCATGGTCGCGCTTTCGGAACTTTCCCTGGCTTGTAGTCTTTTTTTTAATGTATTGTTGTTGAGAGTTTGTCCTGGGCCGCCTCCCGCGGGTTATGCAGCTACGGTAGTTCGAGCAACTGGGCCTCGACCCGTAAGCAGATGCATCGGCGGCTTTGCCACGAGCTGAGAGCACTCAACGCAAACTGATGCCTTGCACTGCCTGGTGCGGAACCCCATGCAAAGCTCCGGATGTAATATTCACGCAAAATTGAAGCAGCACTCGAAGCCTGAGAAAAATGGTTCCTTCTTTGATGCCACATAGGTTCCTTCTTCGATTCCACATACTGTGCATGCAACTATCGCCTTCGTTCTTCTTTGCCGGACAGTAAGGGGAACGGTTAAGAGAAACGCCTGTGGAGGCCGCACGTGGTTTCGCGGTTGCTTAAAGACCAGGCTTCTCTGCTCTCTTTTGAAATGGGGCTCGCGAGTAGCCTTAAAGATGAGAGCGTTTCGGACGTGGGAAAATCAGTGGATCCTCAGCGGTGTGTCCACGCATGTTGTGAGCATAGCAAGAAGCGAGGAACCTCCCGTTCCGAAGTTTTTGGGAATTTGAGATGATCGTGCATATCTTAGGATCGATCCGTCTGCACCCTCAGCTTCTTCCTCATGCAGCCAGGAACCTGCGAGACCGCTCTTGGAAATGCTTGGCTCCAGCCCGACGCCTTCTTCACAAGGGGGTTCCAAGGGCCCAGGAACCAGCCAACTCAGCGATGGCGCTGAAACGCATACAGAAAGAGTTGCAGGCCGTGGGCTCAGGAGGCCCCCAAGCTTCCTCGTTTGGCTTGGGATCCCTCTGAAGCCACACCTGAAAGCGAAACCCAGATTAGGACAGCTCTTACACGGTGGATCACCCATATGCCATATGCTGTGTCGCCACGTCTAGCACATGCTTCCATCAACACTATTGCTGAAATTGCAGGCTTCAACCTCCTGTTGATACGGGTAGAGCCGCCATATGCATCTAAGCAGTTCCCAAAGCGCCCTACAAATTTGATGGGCACGGCGCAGAAACAACTCGAACGGATACCCAAGCCGCCTTATCATCCTATTCACAAAAGCTCTGCTTCTGTAGTTGCGAACTCAAAGAGCAGAGCTTCTCCTGCCAGGGGCAAGGGTAAGGAGACTAATGTAGGAAGCTGATTAAGAAACCCTGGCCCTCTAACCCGTTGTCTTAGGATTCATATTAAGAGCCCTAATACAGATGTAGGGTTTCTTAATCAGGTTCCTATATTAGCCCAATGCTCAGGACTTGGGAAATGACCCACCCGCGAATTGCTCCGCCGGCCCGGTAGGGGATGATATGTTCAACTGGCAGGCCATGGAAGCACCGGGAAAGGTTAACGAGCCTGATAGACTCAAGTTGTGGGTATCTGGAGCCGGTTCGACCCAGATTGGGATTGTTGTGCACCTTCTTTGTTTGATTTCTGGGCGAGCTGCTCCTGACATCATGACTTCAGGCAGTGTGAAGCATCAACACTTCACCGCTCACAGACAATAATACGTAGACCTAGTCGTCGCAGCAGTCGTATTGTTGTGATGATGATGATGATGATGATGATGATGGTTTTTGGCTAGTAGTGTAGCAGCAGTCGTAGTAGCAGTAGTAGAAGTGGCAGGAGTTGCAGGAGGAGGAGCAGCAGTAGTAGTCGTAGTCGTAGTCGTCGTAGTAGTCGTAGTAGTCGTAGTCGTAGTAGTAGTGGTAGTGGTGGTAGTCGTAGTAGTCGTAGTAAGAAGAAGAAGAAGTAGTAGTAGTAGTAGTAGTAGTAGTGGGGCTAGTAGCAGTACGGAATAGTCCTCGTAGTAGGATTAGCAGCAAAGAATAAGAAGAAGGCAGGAAGTATCACTAGAAAGGTGCAGTGGTCGCAGCAGTAGCAGCAAGCGGTAATTAGCAGCAGCGCCGGTCGAAGAGGCAGTGACAGAGGCAGCAGTGGTGGTGCGCAACCACAGTTGCAACTGCAATATAACAATAATAAGAATAATAGTAATAGTATTGATAATCATAAGAATAACAATAAGAATAATAATGATACGAATACAACTGCAAGTCGAAAAGCGCAGGCCACCATCATGGGCCCACCAGACTGCCCGTACTCGGGCGGTGTCTTCTTCTTGAACATCAACTTTCCCTCAGACTACCCCTTCAAGCCGCCAAAGGCCCGCGGCCGTTTGAGCAGACTCATGGAAGGTGCTAGCTGTGTTATGACCATTTGCGTTCCTGCTGCGCTCAGATGCCAGGTGCATTTCACCACGAAGATCTACCACTGCAACGTGAATTCGAATGGGGCAATCTGCCTGGACATCCTGAAGGACTCTTGTCCGGGAGTGGAGTGGGCCGTCAGTGTCATGCATTGTGGGAAGCCTGGAACTTGACTTTGCCAGGATCAGTGGAGCCCAGCACTGACAATCTCGAAGGTGCTTCTCTCCATCTCGTCCCTGCTGACTGACCCCAACCCTCAGGACCCCTGGGGTTCAGAACTCCTGCTGGCGGGTTCAGTTCTTCATTGGGGCTGGGGTATGTGGCTGTTGGTGTGGCCCAGGGTGGTTCCTGCAACCGGAACTCCCACCAAACCCCCGCAATGCCTGAGGACACCTTGCAACATGCTATATCCCGAGACAGCCAGTCCATGCCCAAAGCCAGTCAGGATCCGCTCGTGCCGGAAATTGCGCAGGCTGGCAATACACGCTTGTGTCTGTTCAGTTACCATAGCGTATATATCGCACAGTATGTTAAGCTTGCGTGCCTGTATCAGACATCAAGGTTCGTTACTTCTGGTTTCAGTTGACGATTTCTTGCCACCGTCGTGCATGATGTTATGCTACCATAGATAGGTCCTCAATGTAGCTACTACTGATCCACTGTTCGGAACAGGTGTAATCCAGTGGAAACTGGTCCAGTTTAGGGTTGTTTGATTTCTGGCCGCTGCACTCCGTGCGACTGCAATTCAATTACTTAGCATTAGCCTGTCCTCTCGTTTACTAGTCCCCGTTATCGCAATATGGTGTCATTAGATTGTCATGTGTCATCATCTGTCAGACAGTTTGCTGACCATGTATATCGTATGCAGTATGCCGTTATATGCGTGCTTGCATTGCTCAGTATATCAGTTCTGTTCTTGTACTTGTCATCCACATTTGTGGGATAATACGTTTTCACACGGATGCATTGAGTTGCGGAGTTTATGCTGTTTTTGAACTGTCTTGGTATTTCTGGAAGCATGTATCAGGTACAGTAAATCCAGAGCCATACACGTACGTCGTATATGGTATATTATATTGTAGTCCATTGTATGCAGTCTCTGTGTGTGTGTACATGTGATTGCACATGCACGGATGCCTGGATGTGTGCACGTATGCATTGACGGCAGGATAGATGAATGGATGCATGTTCGTGGCATGTGTGCCATGTATGTACTACAGGGGCCTCAATAATTACCAATGCTACTTTGGGGGTTCCTT